GTTCGATTTCCAGACGGCGCAGGTTCCTTTCGTTGGGATTGATCATGAAATCCTTTCTACGGATATTTCCACTATACTTCTGATCTGGCATGTACAGACACTTTCTTTATTAAAATATTGTGAATAAAATTCATTCGCAGCACTCTTTGAAAATGGCTTTTCTTTAATCAGAAGGATTGATTCAGAATTCATTATAATATGTGACTTTTAATTAATTGATGTCATACACACACTACGTAAACACTCTCATCACTGGTCGTCACATTACAACGTTACTTTCTCGATTTATTCCGCACGTGTGACAACGTATTTACAATGCCCTAAAGTAAATCTCGAAAAATTAGAGATGAATGATATATGATATATTATATCAGAAAAAAACCCAACTTTCTCTCATTACAGTTGTAGATTATCTATATGCGTCAGAGAAATCCTTGATCTTCAAAGTCATATGTATTATAATGACCTAGTAAGTTTGAATTTTATTAATAAATTTGCTTTATCAAGTAGCAACTTTTCGAATACTAATTTATGAAAATGAATTTTTGGAACTCATACACACTTCCTTTGTGATTTTACCTCTTACGTGGAGCTTACATAAAAAACGAAGGACTCATAAAATCTATGTTCTATGGTAACGAATCGTTTTATAATGAATAATTGATATACGAATAATAATACATGTTCTGAAGATGTTAAATGCTATGACATTAGGCTACTCACTTGGCCACCCGGTATCATTTTAAATGGAAAAAAATAGAGAATGCACAGACTACTCGTATTAAAGGCATTGTAACACCGCACTTTGGGGTCAAACGCACTTTGGGGTCGAACCCCAAAGTGCGTTACGCACTTTGGGGTCCAATTTCGACCCCAAAGTGCGTTAAACAGGTACATGTGCATTTTTCAACATCAGGCAAACGACCGCACTTTGGGGTCAGAGAAAATTTATGTTCATTATGTTTTAAATAATATAGTATAGTCAAGGCCAATGGTAAACAAAAATCAAGGTATAAAATAGACACAAAACATGTGCCCTGAATCAATAGGGATTTAAATGATCTTGATTAGTAAGTGAAGAACTTTCACAAAATAAATCACCAAAAAAAGAATTTGTATCAACGCAGCACGCCCCCAGATTCACGCTAATTTTCATGAAAATTTTGAAAATTTATTTGAATGTATAATATTGTGGAATAACCAAAAGGAAGCAATTTGCACATTATCAATGGCACCTATAACTAACGTCAATTACCAAAAAGTTGTCAAAATATGCATAAATAGCCCTTAATGCGTTAGTAACGCAGTAGGAATATAGTTGTAAATATTGAAAACTCAGTCATTGACCGCACATAACATGTAAAATATTACTTGAATCTTGAATCATTTTACATTTCCTATAATCGTAGTACATATTTCTCAAGTTTGATTTTATTGAAATATTTTGACTCATCTGGAGGCATGCAGCTTTAAGCTTAAAATATGTTTTTCTAAAATTTTCCATTTATTTTAAAAGAATGTACATCTTTCATTAACTCCATTGTTTTTTGCTAAATGCATCATTTTCCCGTTTGTTATTTACACATTTTACAGAAATATGATAGTCTTTGCATAGACAAAGGTATAAATTCTGGGTAATCTTAGTAAGACATTTCAGTAAAAAAATTGCCTGATAATATGTTAAAATAGCCATTCATTTAGCTAAATGTGACACATTAGAAACTTGACTAGGTGAAGATGCGGCTTTAAGTAGTAGTCCGTACAGGCAGTCAAAAAATATCAACTATTTAAGTAGTCGCACATTAAGAGCGAGCTTCAGAATAATGTAAAATTCTCACTGGGGGTATAGAGGGGATTGTGGGGTATCGATCTCCCAGAGGTTTAAAAATAACATTTTAAAGGCCCATTATGCTTTTATTTGTTTTTCTTCAGCTTTTTTTATTTTGATGTTCTTTTATATTATCAAAAAAATACACATTGGCCAATTACCTGAACCATCTTTTTCATATGTTGCTTTTTGACAATGATGAGTACAGTACTGTTATAGTAGTGATACGTAGTTTACATGTTTTATATGGAAGTCAAATACTACATTGTTTTGACTACTTTTATGACAAATAATTTCACATTTATCGCTACTTTATTCAGGTAACAATCATCTTACATTTCTCTGATACCATTATTTTAACATTATAAAATTCATCTTTCTAAAGAAGTATGTAAGATTTCCCATTAAAAAAGCATCTGGCGAACGGTTGTTACGGAGGGAAAAAATATTAGCTGCATTTTATTTCATTCCTTACATATTTAAAATGGAGCTCAACATGGCACCAAAAGTTATCAAGTAAATGACTGACAAAACGGGATATTTTTCGCAGCATCTTTAAACTTTAGGAATACACGATTTCTGTACTAAAATATTTTGAACGGTGGCAAAAAAGTGACATTTGCAACTTTTTTTTTGTTTTTGATACTTTTTTTTTTCGTACATATTTTCTGTTGTTTTTTTTTGTTTGTCATACATTTTTTTTTTAGTTTTGAAGACATACTTTTTTTTAGTTTTGCATACATATTCTTTTTAAGTTTTGCATACATATTCTTTTTAAGTTTTGCATACATATTTTATTTTAGTTTTGCATACATATTTTATTTGAGTTTTTGGTACATATTTTATTTTTGTTTTGTTTTTTACTTTTTTTTCGTACATAATTTTACATGACGCCATTTGCAAAGTAGAGGTTTGGATAAAAAACGCCATTTGTAAAACACCCCATTTGCAAACGCCATTTGCAAATACCAACATTTTCATTTTTGGAGGTATCAAAAAGATAATAACACTTTTTAGATATTATCTATGTCTCTGATATATACATGTACATGTATATATATTTTTTTTCTAAATCAGTGGAATATAAGGACCTATTTAGATCTTTTATTGTGCATTATTGTAATACACCAGTCATTTGTAACCACCTCCCTTGCCCCGGGGGAGTGCGGGTTAAAAAAGAATCGTGTGATGTCTGCGCTGTTCCGGGGCATAAGGCAGGAATGTTATTATCTGAATATCCCCCGCAGGGCGAAGATTTTACCAGTGGTCGGCTTGGTTTAAAGTCAATGCCCCTCCCCCCGCTATACTCTGGGGGTGGTGCATATTCATTCACCAATCAACAGCCCTTTCCAAATAGACACAAATATAACAGTAGATAATAATTTTAAAAAAATACACTAATTATATAAATTCATATGATTTAAAAAATGGGCCGAAAAAGGTCGCCGAAACCAGATTTGCGCGACCAAAAACGACTGGGCCGTTTCCAAAAAATGGGCCGAAATGTGAACAAACTACTGTGCTAGTTTTATACTCAACTATGGGCTGTTATGAGATGTGAAGGCTGTTTTGATTGGCTAAAATATGTACGAAAATCCAAAATAAAAAATGTACGAAAAACTTTAATAAAATATGAATGCAAAGCTCAAAAAAAAATATGAATGCAAAACTGAAAAAAATATGTATACAAAACTTAAATAAAAATATGTATGCAAAACTTAAATAAAAATAAATGCAAATGTCACTTATATGCCACCGTAATTTTGTTATATGAACAATTATTATTATTTTTGGATATTTTAAATGGTTAAATTAATGAAACTTTTATCACTTAAGGATCATCAAAGTATTGACCGCAATCTTGAACTCCACCTCAAATATTTCAATGTCGAAGTTTGAAAATAAGTCAGTTCTCAGTATTTAAGCAGAACTCAAATTACACCTTTGGACCTCTGGAACCCAAAGTGCGTTAATATGTAGCATATTAACGCACTTTGGGGTCAATTTCTCGATTTTGACCCCAAAGTGCGTTTGACCCCAAAGTGCGGTGCGAAGTTTAACGCACTTTGGGGTGGAACCCCAAAGTGCGTTTGACCCCAAAGTGCGGTGTTACAAGGCATGAAAATGAATACAGATTGTTATTCAAAAACTATCTTCAAAGATTCATTATATCTTATTTATTTACTGTATATATAAATTTCATATTATCACTAGGACACTTGCTGTAAGATATATTGATATTTCATTATTCATACACGCGGAAGTATTAAATATGTTTACGCTCAGCTGATAAAATAAATACCACGAAATGAAAAAGGAAGTAAATTGATTGAAATAGACGTAAAATAATAGAAAAATTACAATCAATAATGGTATGTACATATTTATATACATTTATATATCCCTGTGATTTGATGATGAATAATTTTACGGAAGGTATGCATGTCTTCTTTTTTCATTTACAAAACTCACGATTGTAAATTAATGTTTTAGCTTACTTTCGTTTCCGGATGTGAAAAACAAATGACCTGTGCGTATTCTAAAAAGACCAAACATGTCTGAGATTTATATATTTTTACACAGCAACACTATTACTTTTTTACATATTCTGAAAATAGAATGGATATACATGTTAAGGTTCATGAATTATCCTCTTTATATAGAATTCAAATAGAGTGTATTTTCTCTAAAGAATGGCTGTAGAATCTGATTCCGAAATAAATGACTGTTTGGCGATGTAGATTTTAACTAATGTGTAAGTTAACTACGAAAGTTAAAAATCTTATTTTTAGGACATTTCGATATCCTCTCCGCTAATATTCTTTCTCTCTAAAAAACAACAATGTGTGAGGACATTTACTCAGTATAAGTATGAATTAAAAGACTGAAATAATTGTAACTCTGAACATATTCTATCAGAAAAACATAAATAAAACGAAATGGACAAATTATGTTTAGCCATGAATTAAACTATAAGAACCAACTAAACATGGATTTATCTTCCTCGTTGTCTTCCCGCGTAAACTTTATCTTCCTCGTTGTCTTCCCGCGTAAACTATTAATCCTTTAAACTATAAGAACCAACTAAATAGTATATTATTGTGTTGGTTTTTCTTTACTAGAGTACATTGGTGCCTTTATGCTTTTTTTATATTGCTGAATAAAGGGCTATTTGAAGCAGATTTTGCAAAGAAATGATGTAATTTAAGTGAATATATACGAGGGATGATTCAGAAATACCCGGATTAAAGCCTCTCATCCAATAATATCAATTACATATACACATTAAGACACTATATTAATGCGTTGACAAGAGAAATCTAATAATATTTCAACTAAACAACTAATGACCGACACAGTCTGTACGTCGCGCTAACGTCATTGGCGTTGACGTAAAAACACTCAATGCACTCTTTTTTTTAACCAAAGGAAGAGAAATAGAGAATACATGGTTGATGTCGGGATGGAGAAGGTTTATCCGGTGAGCGAGAAAGTGTATCTTGGCGAGCTTTAGCGAGCCAAGATTCACTTTCGCAGCGAACCGGATAAACCTTCTCCATCCCGACATCAACCATGTATTTAATTTATCCGGCTTTTAATCATGTTTTTAGATTAATTAAATGGTTTAATTCTTACTTTTCCCCGGTAAAATAGCATCTATATGTAATTTTGTTTTGCTGCTAACCATGTGACGTCATCATATGACGTAATGACTGGAGATAGATAAGTTTATCCGGCAGGGCTTTATCCAGCTGACGAAATAGACAGTAGCAGGATAAAAGAAAATGCAGCCGCACGCAATACAAGTTCGACGCCATTAAACACATTATTGTGTCTAGTATTCTTTTATTATTTCAATGTTTCTAAATGAGATTGTTGGTAGCACAGTTTTCCGGACGCTTTTTAAAATGCTCATTATGCCTCAGAAATCCATATTATTCAGTTCCTTAGATGTGCAATACACGTGTTAATAATGTTTTATAATGGATTAAGAGCATGTTAGATGTTTAATAACTGAAGAAGTAGCACTGAAGCTACAGTACTAGTAATATGTTCTAAAGGTAGCAAAATGTAAATAAAGTAGTATTTTGACTTCTATACAAAATACTAATCCACTACTAATAAAATCAGCAAAAGATAGTTTATGTCTGTGGTAAATGGCTATTGTTTTGAAACCTGTTACAAGACACCAAAAATAAAAAGGTTTAAATATAAAAATGTATTTCTGAGGCATAATGGGCCTTTAAATAGACTTAACGTTGTAACTGCATTCTGATTGGCTTAAATGTCCTTTTAGCCCCTGAAATGCTATCACTTTATTTCTTATAAACTTTACAGTTTCAAAACAGTTATTCATTGGCCATATATACTAAATCTTTTTTGGTTCTTCAGTAATTGGTATAATTTTAGTGATTTTGTATGGAAGCCAAAATACTACTTTGTTTACATTTGCTTCATTCACGACACATAACTGCATATTAAGTGCTAAATTCTGCATTTATTAACCATCTAACATGCTCTAAATAAAATATTAAAACATTAGTTAATCCAACAATTATTGATTTAAGAGACATAATGTGCCTTTAAGCCGTGAAGAAACGAAGCACAGTATTTCTACACCATAGACGGTTAAACTATGTTTGAGCATATTTTTATTGCGTTTTGTTCTTTATGATTCAAATGTCATTACTTCAAATAGAATTATTTCGCACCATTAGCGTCGCCATTGATTGCATGTTAGCGACTCAGGTCATATTTATCTCATTCAGTATTCGTATTCTCTTATATACCCCGCACCAATTATATATGTGGAAGGATCTTCAGATAAATGAATAATAAATATACCCGTATGTCCATATTTAAAACGTGGTAGATCTATGAAAGACACGAAAAGTAAAAGAGGGAGATGAACAATATCATCATAGTAATTTTATCTCGTTTTAATTGTTCACTTGCTTTATCTTTTTTAACATTATAAGCTTCTGTTACAAGCACGTGCTGTTATCAAACAAGTACGAGATACTTTATAGTTTTGATAACCATTGTTTTCCGTGCACTGAGTGAACTTGCATCTTAGAATGTTACAGTAACAATCCATAGTTGTAAGCGAGAAGCTTTATATTAACAGCATCATCAAAACACATAACATGAGAAAATGATTTCTTATTTAATTCAAATATAGTATGAATGAAAGAAACACACATATGATCAATGGGGACTCGTAATGACGACTATTTATTGGTTGCTGCCATCGACTTTGGCACTGCATACTCAGGGTATGCGTTCTCTACAAGAGGGGAATACAAAAATGATCCCTTAAAGGTAACAACAACATATACGTATGAGACCGTCTTCTGTGCTTAATGTTATCATGTGAAACATAATAATCATGTTATTTCTACCATTTTTATAATATTTTAATGTCGAATTACGCTTAAGCGGTTTGTAAGGGGCGTTGAAACTAGTGTGCATTTAAGCTCAACCAAACCCAACTTGTATTTCTTTAAATTTGGTTATGTAAAGTGCTTTTGAATGTTCTATCAAAGGACAAAAAACGGTTAGATGTCAGACATGTTCAATCTTACATTTATATGACATAAATTAACTATACCATAAGAGCAAATATAAACACTGTTAGAGAGAAACTACTAACAGCATCTGTATTCTAATATTGATATATACATATAGCCTGATTTATTTATGTCTTTTTTATTTACTACTTAACCATCTTTAATTAATTTGTATGTCATTACTTTATTTCTTATATTATTTACTTCCGACAAAAAGGCAATTTAAAACAAATATCTCAAATAATTTATCAACTTCTATAAAGTAATATGATCCATTGTTTCTCGAAGCAGCATTGCGTAAAAGGAAACATCTAACAATAATGCTAACTATCCATACTCTTTAGAGCGTAAAGTTTTCTTTCGTCTGTTTTTTCTTCTTTTTAAGTTGGCTATGTTAAAATGTCAATTTTGATACTGTATATAGTATGAATGTAGAATAGAATGAAGATAAAGGCGAGTGGTAGTGGACTTCAGAGTGGTTCAGATAAACTTCAAGGTTCACCACAATAAAGCTAAGATTAATATGTTTAAATGACTTATGCACCCTTAACAACGTATATAAATGTTAGATAACAACATCTGTATTACAATTTTATTTTATACACGAAGCTAGTCTGACGTCATTTCCCCTTTTCACCTTACTTTTACCATTACCACATTTTCATCCGTACTTCATTTCATTTCTGTTTGACTGTAATAATTATATTCAATCATATATCTTATCTAGGTATGCGCGAACACATGGAGCGGCGGGAGTTTGATGTCATTGAAAACTTCTACATGCATCTTATTCGACAAAAGAAAGAAATTTCATTCTTTTGGATTCGAAGCTGAAGATAACTACTCCGGTTATGCACTTGATAATGAACACAATGAGTACTATTTCTTCAGGAGGTTCAAAATGAAATTGTTCGACAAAATGGTAAGTTGACAGTAACACTTAAATGTTATGAACAAAAAAATGAACGATTATGTTGAACAGTAAAAACAAGTATGGTGCACTACTGGTTGCCTTAATATTATTTGCCTGCTTAATTTGTACAATAGACATTATATAATTTAATCACTCATGCTGATATTTGTCAAAATATAGCAAAATCCTACATAATGAGGTTACAATATAGTGTTGAGTTCAATACTGAAGTACATTGAACGAGTACACAAGTGTCAAAACCTATATTGGAAGAGGCGCTGACCGAGTAGGATATAGGTTTTGCTTTTTGTACGAGTCCAATAGAATTAGTATTGTTCTCAACAGTGTATAAGTAATAGAAAGAGCATCGAAACACAAGGTTATCAGATTTGAACGAGGGGGCGTATCCCCCAAGTATAAATCAGATTGCCGAGTGCTTTGATGTTCTTTTTCTTTTGTATCATAAGCAAAAATGTATTTTGTAAAGGCTGAGAGTTCAAAGGTTATATTTTATAAGGTGTGATATAAACAAGTTTATAATATATGAGATACAATTTAGATCTATGATGGGTATTATTGATTTATTTTCTAAACGTACATCCCGAAGATAATTAAACCGATGGCATAGATATCACTTGTATAAGCATTGAAAGATTGTTCACGTTGACGGCGGTGACGAGATGTTCTTTGTTCTTTAACGTAAACATATATCGTCAATATTACCGTTTTCTATCCATAAATAGTGCAGATGCATCAATAAATGTTAAAAATGCACACTAAAACCTCAACAACTTTTTTTTTATTTTTCAATCTCGTTGCACTTTTTTATTATCACCTCATGTACAGCGAGTCTGCAATTTTCAAACAATTTTGTTGTTTTCAATGCTATCCGAGGGATCACTTTTTTCCAGATATTTGTACAATCTTCAATATTATGAAAATCCTTCTAACCTTTACTTACTTGCAGCAACTAAAAAGAAAGTTCATGTTAGAGGATGAGATGGGACGTAAGATGTCAGCCATGGATGTATTCTCGGCTTCCATCAAGTATCTAAAAGATCATTTAATGAACCGATGCCAACAACAGTTACCTGACGCTACAGATACTGATATCCGCTGGGTGCTGACTGTGCCAGCTATTTGGAATGACACATCTAAGCAGTTTATGAGAGAAGCCGCACAATTGGTAATATCATGCCTCATCATTTTTTACCAGTTATGAAGAAAGAGATAATTTAAAACAAGAACATAAAAAGGGATAAAAGTTTTTGCAACATTTAGCTGTATTTTCTTTGTACAAGCTGTACACCAAATTCCTCTTTTCTTATCACCAACGGTTCTATTCTGGCAAGAGGAACATTGGCCTCTGTTATTGTTATATCGAATGATTTTTTCTTTCATAATGCCACATATAGAAACGATTTTTGTTAATTTTTTTCAAGCATTGAATGTACAAGTATTATATAATGCCTTCTAATGCTATTTAAATAGTTTTGAAATAAAATTAACTCTGAATATGTTAGGCAATTTAACATACGGTCTAAAATTCTTATGAAAACACCCTTTGAAATTGACTCATAAATTATTTTGTTCGTCTCCTGCCTAATCAAATATGAACACTTTGCACCACTATTTTCAGGCTGGCATTAAAAGCGAGCAGTTACTTATTGCTCTAGAACCAGAGGCAGCAAGTTTGTGCTGTAGGTACCTACCTATGAACACTATTAAAGGCTGTAGTGGTGGTTTTCTGCCATTTGGGCCACGCTCTAAGTATCTTGTATTTGATGCAGGCGGTACGTGATTACAATATGTGTCCTTTTATTTTTAGAAAAAAATCATAGATTCAAAAGACGTATTAATTAAATGCATGACATACACATTTTTTTGGCTATTTTCTTTAAAGATACACTTAATTATAGTGATAATTGCTACAAAGTCTGGCATTTTTAAAGAAAGGGCGAACTTTACTTGACCTAAACTAGGGAATGCAACTTCCCTACAAAGTTTGCACATTCTTTTTTTCCAAAATTAGACATATTCAGTAGGAATTTTTAGAATTCAATAAAAGCTATTTTACTTAAGGGTGAGCATAATTTTTTTAACGTGTAATATAAAGTTGACAGTTGACTAGACCCGGTGTTGAACAAAGTACACAGCAACCTCTGTATCCATGAACCGGCTGGCACTGTGTTATAGGTGACTTTTATATTTCCAGTCATCTCATATCTTACAAATATTAGCATTATGATATGGATATGATTCAATTATTCTTACTTGGTTTTCATTATTTTTTTCTTTATTATTATCTGGTTTTCATTATACAATTTTGTATTAAGGAGTGGATTATAAACTATTTTATATTGAATGACACTTAAATTGTCACATTGAAGGTTCTGTTTACCGTGTGAAAAACTACGGGGATGTTTCTAAATTTTCACTTATGTCATCGACTCTATTTGAATGTTAAATTGGGTGCCTGAAAGCATGGGCGCTAGCTTTCATTAACAGTATTCATGTAGATTATAAAATATTTTTATCTCTCAGTAAGGTTCAAGAGGTACTGGAACGATATTTATTTTTTATACAGGAGGAACGGTCGATATCACTGTACATGAAGTACAACCGAATGGTTCCTTAAAAGAGCTCTATAAAGCAAATGGTGGAAACTGGGGAGGGACATACATCGATATAGCTTTCAGAAATCTGCTGGCAGATATCGTAGGAAATGACGTAATGGACGATTTCCAGGCAACTCAAATGATGGATTACATTGATCTGTTCCGGGAATTCGAAGTAAAGAAGAGAAACTTCAAGAATGAAATGACAGAAAAGATCAATTTCAAGGTGCCAATAGCTTTAAGTGATAACTTTTCGAAAAAGAAAGGCAAGGCCATAAAGGATCATATAAACACAAAGCCCCAGTATGATAAAAAGATAATATGGATCGGGGACAAACTTCGCATGGAAGCGGACGTCGCAAAGGGTCTTTTCAAAGAGACATGCGAAAGCGTCGCCAAACATCTTAAAGAACTTTTCAGACAGGGGCAAGTTAAAGATGTTCCTACTATTCTTATGGTTGGTGGTTTTTCAGAGTCTCCTATGCTGCAAACGGTACTACGTGACACTATGCCTGATAAGAAAATCATCATTCCTGCAGACGCAGGACTTGTAGTTCTGAAGGGAGCTGTTATTTATGGTCACAGCCCGGACATCATCGGCGAAAGACGCTGCAGATTTACTTATGGCGTTCAGGCATCGTATCCTTTCAAGGAAGGCGTTGATCCAGAATCGAAGAAGTTCACAAATGATGCTGGCAAGGTTTTCTGTGCGGACAAGTTTGATAAACATGTTGAAATTGGACAAGCAGTTACTTGTGGAGAAGATCAAGTCACTCGGTCATATAATCCTACAAAAATTAACCAGACAAAAATAACATTTTCTGTATACGCATCGAAAGATGAGAATCCCGTCTTTACAACTGATCGCAACTGTACTCTTGTTGGATCGTTGTCTGTTGATTTACAAGGTTCTGGACTTGAGCGATCGGTAACAGTTCAATTGTCTTTCAGTGATACAGAGCTTCACGTGAAAGCCGTAGAGAAAGCCACTGGCAAGGAAAGCACAGCAACATTTGATTTTCTTAGTTGAGTGAAAATACAAACTGTACTTTAATTTTATATACTATATAATGCTACGTTATGGAAACTGGATACGCTTCATATGTCAGGATTCATGTATACAATGTTAAGAAGTAGGTATTTTTTATAAGATGCATGCTTTTATAATTAGTGTAATATTTTTGTGAAAACCATTTTTGTATCGTTTTTAATTCTGTGTTGTGATTAATGCTTCCGAGGGATCACTTTGTTGCCAGATTGTTTTTACTAAGTAAACTTTTTAAAAGTCAAATTACACCATTAGATACAGCTGCACTGGTAGAATCCCGCATGTATACCATTAAATTGTTTTGAAGTGAATTGGTTTACAATATGCACATTTTCCAAGTATTTCAAATATTGATAAAAATTATAGAAATGTATGAGTTGAGTATTCTTATCAAACATTGCTTGAAAGAAAAATGTTGATAAAGTTGTAAGTGGTTTAGCATGAACATTTTCTATGATGAATAATAATATTTTGTTTTATAACATTTTACTATCTGCTATAGAAATAAATGTAACACACACGGGGTCATGTATCCAACACTTGCCAGCATCATCCATGTATAAATCTTTCGTAGTTTGTTCTAGATACTATCAACATGATTAGTTATTGTATAACATGTCTTTTATTATAGTCACTTCTAGTAAATATCTCTATTAATGAGGCATTCCGTCACGATTGGTGCAAAGGGCAGGACGTAAGGTGGTTGCACACTTGTTTCAAGCAGGCGAATTGTTTGCGAACTTGACAAAACCCGCTTCAATTGTTCATAGCTTTGTAACCATTTTGTTCACTTTGCAACAATTTCGCTCCCTTGAACCAAGTGTGCAACCACCTCACGTCCTGCCCTTTGTGGTGTGCACATTAAATTTAACATACATGTATTATCTAAATATAGCTGCAATCTTATTGGTCCAAAGAGTAGTCTACAGAATCATTCCCTGCGGTCTGGAGGGTATTGGTACACATTTAACTTTTGAGGCATGGAGGAGCACGTGACCTGTTTTCGGTACATGGAGGAGTATATGATCTGTAAACCGTACATGATTGGTGAATTGACCTCTAAATACCGTTTACCGATACGTCACGGATTTACCTATAGGGAATTAGTCCGAACTACACCTAATTAAGAACAAAAAACTATTACGTGATATTTCTAATTTTCTATAATTATTTAACCGTGTAGGTTGCAAAAACTTGAATGATGTGTTTGAAAATTACAATGTTTCTTTAAAATCTATCTCAAATTTTAAAAATACTGAAAATCTACAAAATTAAAATATTCGTAGTGGCATCTGCCATAATGAGATATTTTTATCGCGTAAACTTGTGTGTTTTTTATTCTTTTATTGCTCGGAATCATTCATAAAATGGTAGGCCTATTTAATCATTTTCTTAAAAAGAAATAATTGTTTTATCTCCGGCCTTCTCCGGTCTTCATCGGTCACCACTTTCCAAAGACCTTCTTCTATATTGATCGATTATTGTTAACTATATTCCTGATACAAACGTTTTTTACCCCCATTTTACTTGTATTCACTGGGCAAAGTATCATATTCACTGGCTGTATTGGATTTTCCCAGTCTAAAAATAGATTGAGACTCACATTCAATGACCGTTCATCGTAGACTGTTTATTACGCATGCTTATTAAACAATAATTGTTGAGTTTTGTTCTTTATGGCATATTTCTCGATTAAAATATCATAACTTTACTCTTATAGTTTAAGGTTACACCGCAATGATGAGTATAAACTTGAATTACTTTTGTATGCGCAGCGTAAGCGGAGTTGTTTGCACGTCTGGCACGTGCGTCTTTTTTTCCTGCGCTTCAACAGAACAGGCGAAAGTTGTACATGTATTAGATTGTACGTTTTGTGTGTTTTTTTTTAAATTCTTTTGCCTATTCATATAATAAAACATTTACTGACTATAATTGTATAATATGACACAGAAAGCCTGCATTTATTGTGTTTTTGTATGAATAATATATGGTAGACTCTTTCGTTTAACTTTTTACACACCACAAAACAGACAACATAACATGTGGTCAAAACAAATATAACGAATGTAAATAAAGAATAATAAATTTGAATAAAGTATCATTATAAGCCTCTGATATAGAGCTTCACTATAATGATTGTTATAATGTATTTGAGCTCATCAATGTCCTTTCTAATTGCTATCCCTTCTTGTGAAAATAGGACAGATGAAGGCACAAGAACGGTCTCAAATAATTAAGTATCATTTAACAGAATAGCTTTAATCATTCGTTATCAAATGACTGAAACGTAAAGAAGTAAGTAAATAATAGAGTTATTCGATATTGAATATTTTGACGCTGCACTGGTATATACATGTATACTGCCTATTGAATTACTTATAAACCAGGTAAGTATATTCTTCTTAATACTAGAATTCGGTAATTAATATACAATTGTAACGGGGAAGTTCTATTTACCTTTATTTTTCTAACGCATAGTTTTGATTTTACTTCCTTTTCCGAAAATCAAAAAGTGCGCAAGTTATTTAGATTAAACTAATTATATATACTATATAATATTGTCTACAGATTAAACATTTAGTTTTATTGCATGTCTAGGACAGAATATACGTTATGTATGATTTAACATATCTAATTTTATTTTTAGACAGTTTTTGATTGTAAAGAATAAATTCACGAAAAAATATCCATATGAAATTGAATAACACATACATGTCAAGATGATATGAATAATTTGCGAACATTATAAAATGTCATTAACTTTCGATGAGCAGCCATTGTAAAGCAAATTACTTTGTTGATAAATTGGTTTGGCTAAACACATTTATTTCAGCTCGGTTGCAAAACAAGTTCTTGCAACTTTCGAGTCCGCTTCCGGGAACCAACCAAAAATGGTGTTATTGTCGTGACTCGAGTTTGGGCTCGAACTCATGATTCACGGGTTGAAAGGCAGACACCGTAACCACTAGGCAACTACTCCTCTTAAAGATAAGTGATATATAGCTTATACTTTAAGACTCATTTTTTCATTATCAAGGAAAATCACACGGATTAATCATTCTGTATCACTTGGATTTTTCATTTGGATTTTTCATTATTTATTTTGTGGGTTATCTCATCTTCCTTTTAATTCTCTTCTCTATCAATGTATAGAGAAATGTTTACTTGAAACGGTTATGTAAATATTTCTTGTCTAATCAAATGTTTGATAACTTATCTCTTTTTTTATTTTTGCAATACTCGTTTTAAGGTTACATACGTATCAAGGTATGTTCGTATATACTATTTAAACATTCGAAATATGACGGCGTTGAGCGTTCAGCGTTTTGTGACGATATTCTATGGTGGCTAATTTGTGCCATTCGTGTTTTCGCCCCGCAACCCCGCCAAGCGAAATGTCGAAAATTAAAAGTTCAAATGGCTGGGGCGCGCAGCGAAAACACGCTAATTAGCGAGGGCGCGGGGCGAAGTTTAAACTTCGCCCCGCGGGGCCGCGGAGCGAGATTTAAGAAATAAAACGGCGGGGTCGCGGGACGAAAACACGAATGGCACAAATCAGTTTAATGAATAAAACTTCGCCGCGCGCCCTCGATAATAAGCGTGTTTTCGTCCCGCAACTCCGCCAAGCGAAAATTCGATAATTAACATGTTCAATGGCGGGGCGCGAAGCGAAAACACGCTAATGAGCGAGGGCGCGGGGCGAAGTTTAATAAATAAAACTTCGCCCCGCGGGAGCGCGGAGCGAGATTTTAGAAATAAAACGGCGGGGTCGCGGGGCGAAAACACGAATGGCACAAATCAGCCACCATAATATTCAGACAAAGGTGTATCAAATATTAAATATGGTAGATACCATCGTCGGTTACCCACGGTATATATTCCGTACATACTAAGATAATGTAGTATGTACGTAATGTAATACCGTTGGAAACCGACAGGAATTTGCACCATAGTATAATTAATAAATGAGTTTTAATAAAGGAACAATCTGGTTGTATTATATTGCAAGGTCGGAAAGTTCACTTTCGAAATCCATACATGTATTAGAATTACGCAAGTTGTTTTACTTTATTTATATAAAATATACATTTCCAGTTTCGGTGAATAAGCTAGAAGAGGTAATTTTAATTATGTTTTTTTCTTTCTTCTTTTGCAAAAAAATATTAATCTAACAAGAAATCAATTATGTGGAAGTTTGTGGTCATGACATTTTATGCTATTTTTAACCGTTTGAATTGTAAATTAAATAAGGCTAGTTTCGTTTTCATGGAAAAAAAATCAAAACAGAATCGATACGGACTGTATTAAGTGCATATTCCTACAATAAAGTAAAGTTAGTAGCGAAATTCTGTAAACAATCAACATAAAATAAAAACAAAATCAATCAAGAACACACAGGGATTAATGTTCATTATCTAAGATGTAACTAAGGCATTTAGGACTTATCCAGTATACGAATATACATGTTTGTAAATATTAAATGAGCCGCGTCATGACAAAACCAACATAGTGCGTTTGCGACCAGCATTGATCCAGACAAGCCTGCGCATCCGCGCAGTCTGATCAGGATCCATGCTGTTCGCTTACAAAGCCTATATCAAGTAGAGAAGCTGATAGCGAACAGCATGGATCCTGATCAGACTGCGCGGATGCGGAGGCTGGTCAGGATCCATGTTGGTCGCAAACGCATTATGTTGGTTTTGTCATGACGCGGCTCAAATGTATATTATACGAGTACACATCAAACATGATTGTTTCGGTGTTTATTAAAGCAAAGTATTCTTTTAAACCGAATAACTTTTTTTATCTTATTTAGAAAGGGCAAACATGAGTTTTGATAATGTTTAAATAATGGTAAGATGCTTGTTACCGGAAGACAGTAGTGCAGAAAGCAACAGACGCAAAATATAATTCAGGTGATTGACCAGTGAGTAACTTTTTGGAAACTATGAAAGGACGTCAAAAACAAAAGCTTTTATGGAATAAAAATAAAGGCATTTCCCGGGTATAATGAGCATTTAAGATTTCAAGAAACGTTTACACAGATAAAGCATGACCTATTAATTCATGCACAAAAAACATCAACAACAAACACCACTTCAATGAGATGTAATAGAATAAAAATCATTGACGCTTAACGGGATTGCACTAATGTTTTACGACTTGATGGTATTGGAGATATTTTTCCGAAATTTGTTTATTATTTCATGAAGGTATAAACCAGTGACTTATGTTCAAATTTTTAGTGTGTCAAATGACCCAAATATGAGAATCGTTGCAATGGCTGCTAAGAATTAACTAGCTATTAATTTACAATTAATTATTATCCTATTTCAGTGCTTCATTGATCTATGTAAAAAAAAACAAATTTTGTCTTTTTAGACTTTCTGAAAGTCAATGACTGACCAAAACCAGGACTATTTGCTAGTTGCTGCCATCGACTTTGGCACGGCATATTCAGGTTGGGCTTTTTCCACTAGAACTGATCACAGTAAAGATCCGCTTAAGGTATCATTAACCGTT